CAGTACCCTACAAACGACTGCCAGAGATAACTAATAAATGCCGTGACTTCTTTTAATTGTATCCAAGAATTAGGCAAAAGCGTGGTTAGTTATATTTTAGCAAGATTAAGTAACAAATAATACAGCTATTCAAAACAAACAATTAAAACGTTTCTATCCTCAACTAGAAGACTCCTGTGACACAGTAATAATGGGAAGAATCAGTAGCTAGCATACTATAATCCACTGTAAAGATATCAGCTGTAATTTCAAAAGACTGAACAAACATTAGTTATAGCTAGTTTTTTGGTGCAAAAAATTATCCTCCCCCAGAAAAGTCCAAGGTTTTCACTCACTCCCGACATAATTGCTATTCTATCAGCAAGAACGTCAGCTTCATCCATTAAATGAGTTGCAATCATAATGGATCGGCCTTTTCTGTAACTGGTGATAAAATCCCAAATAGCACGTCTTGCAAAAGGATCAACTCCTGCTGTAGGTTCATCGAGAATAACAACGTTGGATCCTACAAAAAGCTGACCTAGAAATTTAGCATTTCATACTACAGCAAACGAGAAACACAAAATTCCTTTAGCCCTTCTTTTTCTCACTACATTAATTTACTGACGTATAGTGAAAATTCAAATCAAAAGATGGCAAACAACTTTTAAAACAAATTATCGGAAGTCGCAGGATTTAAGCCAGTCTCCTTCTTGTAATATATAATAAACTAGATTTTTTGCAAAGGATAAATCAGCCAGTGTTTCATTAAAAAATAAACCACCTCCTATAAATGACACTGCGACCGACAGTCTCCTCTTCATACCTCCTGAGAGAGCATCAACTATTTCGTAACGCTTCTCGTACAACTTCAAGTCATGAAGCATAGTATCAACTTGGTCATAAATATCCTAAAGAGCTTTAAAATATGCGAAGAAACTGGGTAATCTATAAAACCTTGTAGAGAGCTAAACAAATCCTAATTTTCAAAATATATAACAAAGAAAAACTAGCACTGTCATCAAATGACTTACATTTTCACAGCGCTGAGGGTCACTCTTTAATGTTGCATAAAAGTAAAGGTGTTCTCGTACTGTTAAATTGTCGAAGAGAACATTATGCTGAGGACACAGCCCTAACGAAGAATTAAGAACATCTCGCCTACTGACAATTTTACGTCCCTCAATAATGACATTCCCACTTGAAGGTGCACAAAACCCGGTTATGATGTTCATAGTTGTCGTCTTTCCCGCTCCATTATGACCTAAGAGGACTGTGATTTGGTCCTACAATCAGAACTAGGTTAAAGCTACACTCCAAAAAGTCTACCATAAATGTGAGAAGAGAAGAACCAACCATGTACATGCTCAAAGAAACGTTAGAAACCGCTACACGAGAACCAAAAAATTTGTATACACTTTCCAGAGAAACAGCAATTTCACAACCTTCAGAAGCACGATCATATCTGAAAAAGCTACTAAAATTTCGTAAGAAACTTGTCAAGGCAGTTACGGTATGAACAGCAGCGTCGAAGAAAAATGCCTAAAATTAAAAAAAAAAGTTATTTTAAAGATCATACTCCTCATAATCCCTTTCAACTGGCGACCTAGCCGATTGAGACGATACCATGTCTTGGGAAGAAAGACTGGCACCTTTTATACCCAATAAATATAAGGAAGAGTCAAAAAGCGAAGTTACTGGAAAATACCATTTACATTTTACTCCAGAATTTCCAAGGACCTTGAAAAAAATTAACAGTTAATGGAAATGCTCACTTAACGTCATAGAGATAGAAGATTATCACGCAGCCGCGAAAAGGCACAGTTAAAGAGATAAAAAATAGTATTGGAACAATCTACCACATAGCATACCTTGTCAAAATAAATAGTTAAGCAGCTGTATATTAAGCAATCAAAAAGTATAAGCCCCATTGCCCAAGCAACGCTAAAGGCATCTTCATCAACAGGAGATTTGAAAAAATTAGTAAAATTGCAACCAGTTCCTAAAAACAGCGTAAGTTTTAAAAAAAAAAGCGATCCAAAGACTAACATGAGAGCACTTTAAACTAAAGAGAACTCAAAATTACTGACCGGTCGATTCAAAGTAAAATAGGCTTTTCATAGCCATGCCAAAAGCAGACGTTGAACTGAGGGAACTCATAAGTTTGAATATGAACGGCACAGGTTTTTGAATTGCATGCTCCCGAACAGCAATAAATACGCATGGAAAATAAGAAAGGAGATAAATAGTTCCTGAACCAACGATTGCAATCCTTGCTTTCGAATACAGAGATGATAATAAGAGCCTTAAATAACAATGCAAACTTGAAGGCTGTTCTCAAGCAAAAATGGTTCATAATAATTTACATTTGTACAATTTGTGCTACCCCATCAAAATCGTCGCTGTGCAAAACTCCTCCAAGAAAAGAAAAATTAGTATCGGATTGGAAAGCGGCAATAGCTTTCCATACCGCAGAAGAAGTGTCAGAAGAAATATAGTAAATGACACAATTATAAATTCTGTCAAGAACCACGACAACCATAACGTATTTGGACTCAATCCCATAACACACATCATCTAAAAAATTTGACATTATCATGGATGATGCACTAAAATAATTTACTTCCTTACGATGCAGCTTAATCGACAATAAGGACAGGGTTAAATTTAAAAGTGAATCAACATAAAAAAAGATTATAAAATTCAAAATCTTTGTCAAAACTCACAGAATTTTTTGAAAATCCTTTTTGCAAAAAAAACACTCGTCTGAAAAACCTAACAAACCAGTCACAAAAAAATAAATAAATAAATAAAAAATAAAGTACACATATAAGCACAAAAAAAAAAATTCTCTCACTTCATTAAGTTTTTTTTCCTTTTCATATACAATGTTTTGCACCATAAATCCGATCGTGTAAACCCATGTGATGGCCAAAATTAGTGGGAAAAAATTTTCGATGTTTTTGAGGTTCCTATTCAAAAAATATATTATTAGAAAGACAGTAAAAAAAAGCTTATAGACGCAAATTTTCCTTGAAAGTTAAAGCTTACTTATCATAAATGAAACATGGGAAAGGTTCCTCGTGAATATAAGTTCCAGGCTCGCTTACAGTGAAGCCATTAACGACATCAATTACGCTTCTTTCAACTAAATCCTGAAAAGAAAGTAGAGTACTAACCTGTAAAAAAAAATCCAAACTGACTCTGATAAACCTGTCATAAGCAAAAAATGACTGTTAATCGGTAGTACACATTGTAAAACGAGAAAAAATTGAGAAACTAAATAATAACTATTAATTAAGTAGAGTAAAGTGAAAATGGCTCACTTGAATAAAGAGAAACCCGAATTTATAATAACTGTCATCATAATCGCGTGGCCCCGGGTAGCGGAATAATGTTTTTGCAGCATAGGTTGTAGGAGTCATTGAAATATTCTGTCTAATTTTATACACAATGTGCGGTGGAAAAATCGAAGACTTTGTAACATTAAACACCAAACCTGCAAACGTGAAACGTCATTAAAACAAGAAAACTAACCGTACAACTAGCTGCTCTAAACAGATTTGACGCTGTTGAAAGAAAAAGTCAGAACTCTTAGAAGATGGAAAATAAAAGGTGCTTTTTACTTGCAATAACAGTTACGTTGTCGCGCGTGGCGTTGTTGATAAAGTAATTTACAAGCTCCTTTTCACTTGAAAACCCCTAGAAAAAATAACTAAGAACAATGCATGATGGAATATTACTATAGTTTACAAAATACTTCCACCTTATCAAAAATAAACACCAAGAACTGGAAAGACTTCTGCTTCCAAAACGGATGTGTTTCTGAACCATGAAATACGGAAAAAATTTTTAATAAATGAGCAAGAGCAACAATGCAACTAAACAAAATTTTTAAAGTTAAAAAACAGACGATGGTTGTTAAAAAAGAAACAGCCTATCAGTTATAGAGACAGACATGTCTTATTCAGAAAAAAAAGATCCCTACAGGGAAAACAAATGCTTTAATTTGTGGAAAGAATCACAAAACCTTAAAAAAATCTAAGTTACTTCCATTAAAAGCGTCCAAACACGTACACGCTGCAGCCTGCATCAATTCCGTTCTATGAATTAAGCAACTAGTTTTTGATTCTCCTTCCCCACAACCTTGAAAAACTTTGTAGAAGCTGTTATTTCCCGAAGCAGACGAGAAAACGCCAAAAATCTGAAACCGTCATTTTTCGAACTAAAATAAAATGAAAAGACATAAAATCAGGAGCTAACTGGTGTTAAAATAAAGCTTTATTGCCTTACCCCATTTTTTGAAGAATCAGTATCACTTTCTAAAGCACCTTTCAAATCAGTAGTGAATTCCAGTATTTCACCTGCCAAATGCTCGCCAGCAGCAATTAACGTCAAACTTTCATTCATCTAAACTAATAAAATTTACTTCCCGCAAAATCCTGACAAAGTAAAGCATATTTACGAACAAGGCAAGTGTGCGTAGTTTTTTGAATAATGACTGAAGAAGCTTGAAAGAAAAACAAGATTGCAGTATGGAAAAATTATTTTAAAAAAAGCTAATTACTTTACTGATCACTCTATCAACATCACCACCTGACGGAGCGAACAAGATCTTCGGACTAATTTTCAAAATTTTTTTCATAAATAAATGTAATTCGTCGTCCTTTCTTTCTTCTAAAATACAACATCAAACTACATCGTATTGTAATTATCGTAGATTTTTTTCTCCCCCCCTAAAACACAAGCTGAGTAGTATGTGCAGGAACACTTCTACATCAATCAACTAATGTCCATGCCCGACGATTTACAATCTTGTTGCTTCGTCTTCTAGAAAGTTTAAGGAGTTTTATTAAACTTTAGCGAGGAATATACAACCTGTTTGAATCATGTAACTGGTCTAGAATCCAGGAACCTATCATTCTTGGAAGACCAATCTTTCGCAATGATTTCAAATTTAAAAAACCTTCACATTCTCCGAATAAACTAGCAGAGCAGACCTGAGTGTGAGTTACAGTCGTCTGATTCAGTACAATCTGCTTTCGATTCATTTTCCAGTTTGGCTTTCATAAGAATTTCCTCGTTATTCTTCTCTTCTACTCCGCAAACCACAGACTGACCGACACTCCATAAGTATTCAAGAACCGCAGTCTGGGCTTCTGTTACCTAGATCATTAGTCAATAAGGCAATTGACAAAAAACTGTGTTATAAAATAACCAAGTTTCTAATAATTTCTGTATAAATTTTTCAACCGTAACGAGTAGGTCGGCAAGAAACAATACGTACGTTTTTTGTGATAAGGCCTCGCGAAACATCTGGGCTAGTGACGTAATTATGGACGCACTTTTGACTAACAGGAAAATGTTGGAGTATCTCATAAAGTGAACCGAATGTGTGAAAAATCTCACCCAAACTCTAAAAAAAAAGTTCTCAAAATAAGAAACTCCTTGTTCTAGAAGTGCAGTGCTAGTTACAATATAAAAAGAAGGCGCAGTGCCTGACTGTAATAAAAAAAACCAAAAAAGTTAAAAAACTGTCAAAGGGAAAACAGACGTTTACAAGTAAAAAAAGTGATATTTTCACAGCAAAATTTCTAAACGGAAGACTTCGCATAACTAAGATTATTACATACTAACTTCCTCCAGCTTTTCTACTCCTGTTTAAACAATATAAATGCTGTTTTTGTTCTACATTCGTAATTCAAAAAACCTAATAAATTATTCGCTAAAATTGTACCGTAACAGGGGTAAAAAATAAAAGTCTCCATACAAGTCGTTAAAAAAACTGAGGTACTCAACAAACAAAAAATTTAAAGAATCACTCAATGATCTCCCAGATTTTCGACATTTAAAAAATTGACCATCAAAATGCACTTCATCAGGAACATAAAGCTTACCGATAACTTATGTGAATATTTCTTGAGAAACTCAGCTGTTAATAATCGTTGCTTTTTTTGCCCTGAAAATAAAACTTTTTTCATTATAAATTATAACACAAGTATACGTAAAGCTTAGCTAACCACAGTGTTACTTCTAGTAATTACTTATATCAATGTGTAAAGCGTCCGAAAAATTATAAGTCCACTATCAATTTACCTGTTCAAGCTGTACAGCCACCCTACAGATTTCACAACGCATTCAACTCTTAAGCACTTCATTCGCATAAATCTGACTGAAGTGCGAGAAAGCTGGAACAAAGCTAATGAAAAAAGCCCAAAATGAGAATCTCTTCAGCCGCCTAATGAAGAGAATTTGGCCAGAGGCTGTTGGAGATTTGGTCCATTCAAACTGATTTAAATGAGCTTCTTTCTCAGATGGATTATGAGACATCGATACAACAAATTAGCTCTTTTTGTAAAAATGTATACGCTAAAATCTTTCAATGCCTGGCCGCCTTGCTCCGTAATAAATGAGGGTCTTAAGTCAATAAGCGTCTTAAAAGGCTTCATTTTGCTTGTCATTATTCGGAAAGGTTACGCAGAAGCAGTGAAGAACCCGCACATTTAAAGCCACATGTGTCGGAAGCCTTGCTCACCAGTGTCGCTAAAGCTACAAACGACGTTCATTGTCTTCAAATGTTACTGTATATTCAACAGCTTTTTTTGCGCCTAATACCACAGATAAACTGATTATTCTACACAGAGCTTACTGGCTCTCAGCGGTAATTTTCCCAACAAACTTCATATCCATTTTTACTGGAACTTCCTGAGAGCAGCTTGTTTCCTCTTGCTTTACTGGATAGAAGAGTCAAGAATTTCCAGGTTTAAAAAGCATCCCTTCTAGGCTTTAGACGTTATTCAGCAGGAACCTCATACCAAAAATGGCGAGTAATAAATGCCGATTCTAGCAAGTAATCACACAAGTTCATTTTCTAGCATCTGAACAACCAGCAGTTTTTGATGCCAGGACTTCTGGACTTTCAAATAAGGTGTATTTTACCACTCGGTTAAATAAAAAATAGGATTGTAAAGAGCCTTCCGGCACTGGTACCTTTTCTAGCTGGTTGGGAGGCAATTCTTGGGCGCAGAGGTGTTTTTGACAGTTGAAAGAACTTTCGTTCTGATAACCTTTGTATCGTTTTCAAAAATGTTTCAGCCCTAAAGCACGGATCAATTCTTGACGCTAAACCAATCAAAAAATTGATGGCAAAAGAGAATTTAGTATGGAATGACGTTACACTAACTTTGAATGTGGTGATATTTTAAACCGATTTTTATCTAAGGTGTAATTTTTACAGGAATTTTCGATAAGCGAAATAAAACCGGCAGATGGTAATGGTTGCGGAATAAAATAACCTGTAAATAATCGACAGTTACATTTCAATTGCTTATAAGAGCCCATTTTTTTGGTTAGATCAGATGGCTTACTGTTTGTTGGACTGATTATGATAACTAAAAAAACTTTGAATAATTCAAACTGTTGCTGATGGCTAAAAAAGTAAAAATTAGAAACTCAGAAAGTGGCAATTTTTTTTAAAAATAATTTTTTATCTCTTTCCGTGGATAAAAAAGAGACAGAAAAACTAAAAATAGCTGAATAAATAAAAGTGACGGTAAGTTAATGTGTTTAAATATGTATATATAAATGTTCATTCATTTTACTTATTTTTTCATTGGTAGGTATGCCGCAAGCCGCCCTCCATTTTAGCGAAAGACCTCACAATGATCGCTGGGTTCAGTAATTATTTTCTTATCTCATTTTTTGATAAACGTTATTTACAACTAATATTAGAAATTTTTTGATAGCTCATTTGGTCATTTCAAAACAGTAAACATTCAAGTGCATGATGCCCGTCTTTTGTGCTGCTAAAACCGTAAAGAACAGCAAGACAGTAAAAAGAATCAAAAAAACTGATTTTTCGCTCTTGTTATTTTTAATAATCCAACTACAGATTCTAATGCCTATCTTAAACTAAAAATTTCACTTTTTCAAGCCTGGAAATAAGTTGATGATGGAACGGATCTTGTGAATAAATTTTGGTGCAGCCAGAAAATTGTATTGAGGTGTGAAATGGGTACACAAATTAGTTACTTCTAATCTACTTTTACTGGCTATCTGGGGAAAAACGTTGTTATGAATTTATGCCTTATGAAAGAAACTAATGGGAAGAACCAGTCTGACAAGATTTTGTTTATTTGTTTTATGCAGCAGAGTATTCAAAAGTATCTGACGGTAACAATCACCAGTCTCCACCAGTGTTAACGCAAAAAACCTCGTCATTTATTATTTTACAACTTGTGACTCAAAGTTCTTAGAAGTAATTGTTGCGCCTAAACAGCTCTATAAGATCTTCGTCTTATGCGCTAATTTCCAGTTCACAACAGGTTAGTTGCATCAAATTTTGACAGGTTTTACAGATACCAATAAAAGATGAGCAATGGAAGGACACATTTTTTTTTTTATTAGCTGATCAAATAAATAAAAAACACGAATGCAATTACGCATTTGTGTCCAATGCTATATTTGAAGTACAAACAACATTGATAAAGATTATATTGCACAAATTTTATGTAGTGTATAAGCCACTGGGATCTTAAATGTTGTTAATCATGTAAATCTTAATTTTTCAAAATCTTTGATACAAAACGCTCTGCATGGGCAATGGAAATGGCCACTAAGGTACCAAAAGATTATAAAACGGTCTCCTAAGCCATTCGTAGAAATTTCAGATGTTATTGCGTATCATTTCTGCGAAAACCATATTTTTCCTGATGTGATTTCGGCTGTGGGAAGGACTGTGAAAGATTGAGGTACAAACAAGGCTACAAGCGAGGTAGAAAAATGATAATCTCTCTTCCTTTCAAAAGCTGCTGCAATTTTTTGTAAGATGATTTATGGCTAGTAATGACCAAAAGAGCATCTCCTCTTTTCCTTTAAAAGTATCTTAGTTTTCAAGTCAAATAAAAGCTAAAATCTGAATTTTTTAGAGGTTTAGGCCTCTTAAAACTCGGAAACGAAAAATATGACAAACTTAATCAGTCTACTTGTAACTACTCTTAGTTTTTCAAACTAAAACTGTTATTTCACAGCCAACAGTAATTTTGAAGTCTCATTTTCAGAGAAGAAAAAACATAGAAAGGATGAAATTTTACTGTTTCCGGTTAACTGTGCAGGCACTGAAACACGGAATGCACACAGGAGCCCGCCTACAGCCAATGGCAATAGAAATTGGATCACTGTCGCAGTCTAAAATTTCAGGTGGATAGGAAAAAAAAAGATAATTTTTTGCTTTTACATTACTGGTTGACATCTAAATACGCATCTGAGCAGTTGGTTTTTTTTTTTTTTTAAACAATGTTTTTTTAAACAATAACGTCTTAAAAATATTACAGCACAGTGATCAGATGCCTGGTTGAAACGTCTATTAATTTAACAAATATTGTTTAACCGAAATATGGCAACATCTAAAGAAGAAACAAAAAAAAATAACTTAACCAAGAACGCTGTTTGATCAAATAATTTTTCCACAATAATAGACGCAAATGAGAAGTTGACGACATAATTTCTAAAGTTAAGGATTCTCAGCTGTATCTCACATTTGTATCGGAACAAAGTAAACCGTTAATCTAACGCATTTTGAGGACAGCACAGTTCACATCAATGATTAGAATTTAATAACATTTAGTATTCTCATTTTAGTCTTAATCACATACAAATTCTCATTATTCGCTAAGCCACAACGTTTACGTTAAAAATTTAAATGATGAAACAAAACTGCATGCGAAACAACAATAAATTTTGAAAAACCTTGAAAAAACAAACCAGCAGATTTGAGAGAACTGCTGCGTGTAATCAACGGATGAAGCTGAGTGCTAAGTTAACCCAGTTTCAGTATAAAGGCTGCACAAAAAACATTCAGAACATAGAAGATGAAAGCTATTAGACTCTTACAAAAAACTTTTTATGTAAGGCTTTAGAAAAAGAAAAAACAGATGTTTTATTCAAACTGGCCGCATTCCTGAACTAAATGAAGCATAGTAAACAGGGAAACAGATTTTGTTCAATTATTTAGAATTTTCCATGGACGGTAAGTTCCAGTACAGTTGACTATCGCATTTGATTGACTTGTAAAACTATTTTAAAGACTTAAACTGTTCTACAAAAGAAAACAATTTTTTTTCAAAACTTATTCGCCAGTCAACGACTGAATAAAAGTTAGACAAAGAAAATGCTGGGTGTTTAAAATAAAAACATAGGTATTCTCAACATTTTCGAAAATATGGAAAAAGGTGAAGATTGTAAGCTAAAAAAATAAAAAGTGGTCATGAACGAACGGAGAGGTTGAAGAATTTAAATGCTTTTTTTAGTAACTTTTAGTAACGAGAATAATGCTAATAAATGATGTAATTTTTTGTTAATATTTCTCTCATTTACTCAAAGCAACGTAAAAAAATAAGCTTTTTTCCTTCTAAGCTTATTGTAATTAATCTGGCAAAAAAAAAATTTTCACTAACACATTGTTGGTGGACTGACTAAATAGTGCGATATTACCACTGAAGAGCGTAGATGGGTTTTATAAAAACTGACGTGTTTGAGAGAAAAATTGGTGAAGAAACAGTTTAGGACTCTGTTTTGAAACAAAATAAATTTTGGTTTACATTTTTGCAACCGCGATTTAAGGAAATAACGATTTTAATGCTAAACTTTAAGAATGGTACTTTTATTCGGTAAACCACTAACCGTTTACCGTATTTATCACCATTGGCCACGAATAGTTTTTGTGGCGAGAGAACGTCAAGCTTTGTTTTTTAAAAGACGACTAAATCAGATGTTTCATAGCCGCTGGAGAAGCCCTAAAGTGTGGTTGCCGAAAAATATCAGCGGAACAACTAAGAAGCAGCTTAAAACATTGTAGGGAAATAACCAATTATTCAACATTAATAAATGGAAATTTTACTGCAGCAAAGTTACTTTCTTTGTTAGACAGAGTTCTCTTTATCAGAACCTTTGCGATAGATTTAAATCCATTCCTGTTCACTGTTTTTTTTTTTTTCTGCCATCCGTTCAACTGCAGGAACGTAAAAAGATGACTTTGACATAGTCCCAAATTGCTCCTTTCTCCTCTTTGACAAACTTTCTTTCACATAAAAGTACGTCTAGTTCTTCTTTAACCGAAAGATTTCCTTCACCAAAAATTT